TATACAGCTTTCAGATTGTATCCCTTTTTGGCAAGCAGTTTGGAGCTGTTTCTTACGGTAGGTACTCAGAGTCAGGAAAGGGGAAGGTAGACAGAAAAGGGAAGGATGGCATTACAAACTTAGGAAAGTTTGAAAAGCATAGATTCTTTGGTTCTGGATTGTGCATTCATTTTGAATGAAACCAATAAAATGTAGGCTGAACAGATTTCACACCCAGCTTTGTTGAAGGCATGGCTGTTTTTATTTTTTTGATTCACTGTTTGGTTTTGTCATTGCATGCATTAAGGTTTTTTTTTAAGCCCTCCCTCTCTGCCTGCCCATTTGATCCAGCAGTGGAGACTCCCATGCTTTCCTGGTCCTTGGTAGAACATTGAGCAAGAGGAGCGTTCCTGCAGCCAGACCCGTTCTTAAGGTGGGGACTTGCGCCAGGAGCAAAGAGTGCAGCAGAGACAAGGCTGCTGCCCTCCCTCCTCCTCCTCCTCCTCCTCCTCCTCTCTCTGTCTCTCTCTCCTCACAGCATCTCCTTGACAAGCCCTTGTGGAAAGGAGGGTCCAGCCTGAGCTCCCTTATGCGAAGTGGTATAAGATGGAGAAGGGAAGGGAGGCTGCGGGGACCCTCGGTAGGGAGGGAGGGCTGAGCTGCCTTCAGTGGGGGTCTCCTGGAGCCCTTGGGGTTGGAGCAGGTCAGGCCCTCCTCCAGGTGGGTTGGGAGACTTTGGCAGCTGCTTCTGAGCAGACAGCTTGCTGGGAGGGCTTTGGGGGAGTGGTTGAGTCAGGGTCTCTGATAGGAATGGGGTCTCCCTTGGGAGGCAGAAGCTGACTCCCTCCAGTCCGTGTGTGTGTGAGTGTGCCCTGGGTGCAGGTGGACCCTCAAGTGCCCCCTGATTTTCTGCATGGGGAGAGCTGAGCCTTAACTGGAGCCTCGTCTGTTCGCTTCCTCTGGGCTTTGCAGGGCTCCCTAGGAAACCCTCGGCCTCTCCCTTCTCTGCCCCACTGCCTCCCCCGCCACTTCCAGGTCCCTTTCAGCCCTTTGATTCCATGTCTTGGTGAAGTTCTAGCGGCTCTGAGAAATGCGGGGGGGGAGCCCTGTGAACTTGGACTAGGATTTGGGTACAGTGTGTAGAATTTTTCCTGGAAGTTTGAAATGCAAAATGAACTTGTTAGGTACCAGCTGGGCCACGTGAAAACAATACCATGGACAATATTTTCTAAATCTATACATTTCTTAAGCCAGATCTTGGCCTCAGGCCTCCTTTCAGCATTTCCGAGGCCAGGTGCTCCCCTCCCCTCCCCCAGGGTCCTCCTGCTCTGGTCACTGGGCAGAACGGCTGGGCTCGGTCGAACTGGCCAGTGGGCTGCCTTGTCCTTGCCTCAGTCTCCCTGCTATGAAAGGCTGCCGGTTCATTTCAAAGTCTCCTCCGAGGGAGGATTGGTGTAGGCGGGGCAGCTGCAGATCAGTTCCTCTGGGCAGGCAGTTCTTAGCCAGCCGGATGCCAGGCAGAATGGAAAGTGCCAGCAATCTGGCTCAGGCAGCCACTTCGCAGGGGACTTCCTTCTCCCCTCCCGTCTCCTCTTCTCTCTCTCTTTCTCTCTCTCTCTCTCTCTCACACACACACACACACACACACACACACACACACACACACGCGCGCCAGCTGACTGACTGGAACCCAGGGAGCCATGGGTGGTCTCCTGCCAGAGTGAGAAGCTGGGGAGATACACAGTCGCACAGGGTTGTGAGTCTATCTAGGAACCCACAATCACTAACGGCCTTGAAATTATCAAAACCTCACAACATTCTAGGGCCTCTTAGCTGATTCTGCTGAGAGAGAAAGAGGTAAAACTTTCCCAGGTCTTTGTAGACAAAGTCTTTGCCTGGAAACTCAGCATCCCACAGCTGCCCCCCAGGAGATCAGACCAAAATGGGGATTTCTCTCATCTGCATCTCACCCTTTGCCAGAAGCTCAGAGAACTTCACCCGCCGGTGCTTGGAAGCGCTGCTAAATAATTTGAGGAAGACAAAGAGGAGGAACGCGTGTTTTTATCCAGTTTTGGGCTCTGCCGAGTTGTATTTTGGGTAGGTGAGCTGTGAATACGACTCCTAAGAGTAAACCCACCCTACTCTGTGCCCCTCCTTCCCCCTCCCTCTCTGCCTCCTGTAGGTCTGGGTGAGATCCGGTGCACCCTCCCCATGGAGGAGAGCTCCGTCCCGCTCAGCGAACTCACAGAAGCCAGTTTCCGGGACTGCAAGTTCAGGCTGTCCCTGGCGGACCTCCTGATCATCATCTTCTCCGGGGCAGCCATCTCCGTCGCAGCCATCATCTCTAGCTTTGTTCTGGCGCTGCTGGTGAACTATTTGCAGCGATGCACGCCCAGAAAAGAGGAGGAGGAGGAGGAGGAGGAAGGCTGAGTTCCCTTCTCTTTCCCTGCCCCTGCCCGCCTGCCTTGTTCAAAGGAAGCCAAGGACTGCCTCCACTGGTTGGAAAGGGCAGCTCAGCCACGTAGCTGACCGGGAGTTTCCCAGGGGGATTGATAGGACAAGATACTCCGGGATCCTCTCCAGTGACCATCGCTCAGGAGGCAAGAAGGGGCCTTCTCAGAAGCAGGAGGCTGACGGGTGCTTCGTCTTCAATCTTCTCCCTCTGGACAGCTGCAAATCAGCAGGAAATCCTGCTGTCCAATTCCAGGTGGCGGCCCCGTGTAGCTCCTGATGGGGCTGTCCTGTCTGCGGCTGCATTTGCTTCTGCAGCTCCCCTCAGTGGCCGTTGCCATGTGGCTGGCTCCCTCCCCACTCGAGGCTCCAAGCCCCTTGCCCACCGCCCCGCCTGCCTGGGACGTCTGGAAGGATTGCTTCAGCAGGAGGCCAGCCCGGCTCTTCCAGGCTCTCGGCCCTCGAGCCCAGCGCCTGGACAGCTGCCGGTTCCTTCTTCGCCTGTGGTGTTTCCTTCATTTTCATGGGAGAGAAATGGCACCTGGCTCTCTGTTTTTCCAAAGGAGAAGAGCTTTTGGGTCAGCTGGGTGACCCTTGCTCTCCTCTCCCCTCTGAGTGTCTCCAAGGGGTCCGAACGTCCAGCCCTTCCCCGGAGAAGCCTTGCTACCACTCGACTTCCCACGTTCCCCCTTCTCCATGGTTTGCTCCTAAACGCTTGATTGGGAAGGCTCTGCTACTTTGAAACGGAACTGAACTTCATCCTAAGCCTGGCCCGCGTGCGAATCGGGCACACAGATTTAAAGGCGAGGCTGATCAATCTGGGCAGACGGCAGTGTTTTTGTCAATGCTGGGTGATGGGGGATCGTAGTGAGGCCCGCCTGGGCCGCCTGGGCCGCTGAGAGCAGCAGGATTCCTTCAGGAGGCCTTCAGGGACCAAGGCCTCGATGGAAAACCCTCCTCCTCCTCCTTCCCACCCCAGACAGACGTCGGTCGGGACGCCTGGGTTCCGCCTGTCTTTAGCCTCCTCCTAAGCTGAAACTGGGGATAAGTGGAGTTTTGGAAATGGTTTGTGCCCAAGTCCATATTTGGAAACCTGCAATGTGGAAGGATCCAGGGTGGACATTTCTGGAGATGCTAAAATGGATCTCAGTGATCCACTGCTCGGAGCGGTCCGGGCTGTTGGCTTTCTCCTACCCTAACCCTCTTTGAGGTGAGCTGCCTCTTAGAAAAGGACATTTAGTTGTCCAGCTGCCCTGCATGCATTTTCTTATAAATAGCTTCCATGCCATTTTCTTAGCAACAATGTGGAAGTGGGATTTTTTTTTCAATTTCCAGAGTAGCCCCCAGCCCCCTTCCTCCCTTGTGGATTCCACCCCAGCCCACCCACACCCCCGTAGCATCTGCACATCTGCCTCCTCCTCCTCCTCCTCCTCCTCTCCCTGCCTGAAGCGCCCCCTGGTCCCCCCACCACTCGCCAGAGCGCGGGTCTGGGCCGGGCTTCCTTTGCCCTGGGCTGTCTCCAAGGACCAGTGATAGGGGTGGGTGGGTGGGTGGCATAGATATTTCATCCAGTGTTTTCTGGGGCTCAGTCCCGGCAGAGGGCGCTCCAAAGGAGACCTCCTGGCTCAAGGCCATCTCCCCCACTGACTCGGCTGGCTGCAGTGGGAGGCCTCAATCCCCTCCTTGCAGCAGAGGGTCCTCCCCGGAGGAAAGTCAGGTCTAGTCGTGGAGCGGGGTGGGGGTGACAGTTCAGGTTCTAAAAGAGTATTTTCCTCTGAAGCTAAAATTTTTCTCCATCCCCCAAATGTAGCACTACAATTGTGACCAATGCAGTACGTGTCCAACCTACAAAAAGTTGCATCCTGTGATCTTTGGGTGTCAAGGTGACTGCGACTGGCATGGTGTCGAGATTGTTAACTATGGCGGGGGGAGGGTGGTACTCAAGTCAAATTCCAGGGGTTGTTGGGGTGGTCTTTGTTCCGCCCGTTTATTTTCCCTTGCCCTGTGCCCCCCTCCCAACCAATGGAAAATACGTCCCGCATCAGCCTTCTCCCACGTGGGGCAGCCCTTCCTTTCCGTCCTAATCCAACCGCTGGGTGCCCGTCCTCCCCCCCCCCATCCCGGAAGGAGAACCTTGCAGTCTCCCAGGTGCCTCCAGCAGCTTTATTGGGCCCAGGTGCCAAGGAAGGAGAGCGAGAGCTCAGTGCCACGTGGCCTCGAGACTCCCTGAACCTGTTCTGGGGGGGGGGGGCGTGTCCCCCGCCTCAAGCTCCCCTCCCTTTTCTATGTCCCTGGAATTGTAGTTGAGCTCTCGGAAGGCGTGAAATCCAGAGCCGGAGCAGGACATGCCAGCCAGTTGTTTGAACGCCTCCTCTCTTCCTCTGCCTGTGGGCGGCCGGGGGAAAAGCTGTGCCGAGGCGGTTCAAGGACCAAAGACAACACGGCTTCGGTTTGTGGCTTATGGCTCCAGGTCCCTCACCGTGTAAAGCTTCTGGCTCTCCTTATTCCTGCCAGAAGCGGGAGCTTCCCCTCAGACGAACCGATTCCCCGCTCCCCAGGCCCAGGAGGCTTCTGCCCTTCTCAGGCAGGGGCATCCAGGCTTCTGGGCAGCCACTGCTGGCGGCTCTGCTCCAGGATGCGCCTGGTGTCCGGCCGCTGGCGATGGGTATATGCCGAGGCGGGAGGCTTGGGGTAGGAGCTGTGGTAGACGCTCTTGGCCCCTTCCGGCTCTTTACGGTGCCAGGTGTCCATCAGGTGCTCCAAAAGTCCGTAGCTGGTGGGGGGCTCTGAAAAGGATGTCATTTCAGGAAAGGGAGGGGGGAAGGTTCTACACTGCGCTCTAATAAATCTGCAGAGATCTGAGCAGCGGGAAGAGGAGCTGAGGCAGCAAAGCTTAAGGCCACCGAGCCTGAGCCAAGGTAGGCGAGGGGCCTTTCCCCCTGCATGCTGGAGGGAGCCCTCGGGATGAGGGGGTGGTCTTTTGGTTCCCCAGGGGGTGGGGGGTTGTGTGTGATGTCCCCATTCCCAGGACTACCTTGTCAGACACACACACCCCCGGTCCAGCATCCATCGGATGGCCGCAGTGTCAATAGCGTTTGTAGGCAGCGGTCTGGTCTCCCTGACTCCGCCCACCAAGACTCCAGATGCTCCCTCCCCCCCCGCATTTCTTCTCTGGAAACCTGCTTGAATTCCCACTTGTCCCACCACAGCAGCTGGCGCAAGCGGATGCCCACCTGCCGGTCTCCAGACTCTGCCACAGGTGTTCCTTGAGAGCCCCACCCAGCCTTCTAGGATGGGAGCCCACCGCCCCAGCCCTCCCTCCTCCTGGGACCTACCAACCAGGGGGTAGTCTGATTTCTCTGGCGTCCATGCCAGTTTGTGCCTGTCCCATTTGCGGAGTGGAGGCAGCTGTGGGTTGTGGCCGTGCCTGTTGTATTGATCGTCGTACTGCGTGACCAGGTGCCGATGCCTGGCCTCTTCACAGTGGGTCAAGATATACTTCCGTGGCAGGCCCTAAAAGGCAGCGAGTGGCGTTTGAAGGTGATGGGCCTGACAGAGGGACGGGCTGCAGTTGCCCCTCCCCTCATACCCGGGCAGGGTGGGGTGGCAGGCTGGCTAGGCTACCAGGTGAACTGGACTGAGGAGGGCAGAATCCAGAGTCAGACCTGTGGTGACAGTTTGGGAAAGGCAAAATGTGGCCAAAATGTCACGTCCTGCTTGAACGGAGCCAAGATGGGACGAAGCACATGCTCAGAGGCAGGGGGCCTGCGAGGGGAGGTTGGTCTGCAGGGTGTCGGGGGTGGGGGGGCGCTTGTGACCACACACAAGGGGAGCTTTTGAGTCGCCTGCTGAGTTCGCTTTGCTTGAAGCTAGATTGGTTTTTGGTGGGTTTTCTTGGTCTGTAGCTCATCCCTCAGGGTTAGCGTCCGATTTAGTGTACTCTGCACATCCAGGAAACGACCCTGTTCTCTGCCATGGTTAAGAGCCACCTCAGTGTGGAAGAGGGGGCAGCAGCAGGCCCTCCCCCCTCCCGACCCTTCCCAACCCTGGCTGGAATCGCACAGCCTTCCCAGTCCAAGCAGAACATGGACCTGAAAGGCCCCAAGTTTGGATCAGGACTCCCGTGACTCACTTCCAGCCGCTTCATAAGCCTCCGCATCACAGTTCGGTCTGGGGTCCCGGTGTGGAAAGGAATAAAATCTTGTTTGAAGGTGCTTTGACTGGTCCCCTTGTTATCGCAGACAAACTAAAATAACCCAGATAAACAGCCATCACAGAAACAAGCTGAGATCGCCCTTTTGGGAAACCATGGATCCCCATTTCCTGTGCTGACTACCTTGGTGCCCCCCCCGGGGGGGGGGACTTCCTTACCCTTCTCCTCTCCTCTCCCCAGTTTCCAATGAGCACTTTGGTTGAGTACTTTGGCTCCACCTTCCAGCTGGGGATGGTGCATTCCTGGACATCTCTGCATAGATTAATCATGTTCCACCACCGCCCCACCAGCTTCCTTTCTCCTCCTCTGGCTGAGAGCTTCTGGGGGCTCCTTTGTGGCAGCGTTGCTTTCTCTCAGGTTCTCCATTGTTGCCCATCACCTTGGTTACCCTCCTGTGACACGGCAACAGGAGATTCTGTTGCCATGCAGTCTATGGGCTTGTTCTATGGGGTTCAGAGCTGTGGGGCCGGATGCATCAGGGATGCTTCTAGTTCCTTGGAAGGTCTGGCTGACCATCAGGAGGATAAACGGAAGAGCATCTCTGGCGTCGGGGGACCCCTTTTATCTGCACGTGGGGTACAGCTCAAGGCTGCAGCATTTCATGGGCAAAAGCTGAAGGCGGCACCCTCCCTGCAGGCTCTTTGTGAAGGTTTCCGGCTCTATTTACTTATTTATTATTGAGCCTGGAGCCCTGGCAAAAGGATTATGTACCAGAGACCGTTGCCATGTTAATATAACAGAACAAGTCAGCTGTATTTTATTCCTGAATTGCAGCACACAAATCTACATGGCCATTTCCAAAATGTTGTTTCTAACATTTATTCTTCAGTCTCCAAGTAATCAGTCTCAAGTCTGTGCAAACAAAACAAAATAAACGCCCCGGACATCTGCGTGAAGTACCACAACGAGCCAGTTATTTAGAATAGCCCGTTAAAACAGCAGACACCAAATCCAGTACCACAGGATGGTACAACGTGACCGTGTCTCGTGGCCGGCATGAAGCCAGCATGGAAACCTCCCTCTTTTGGCCGAGAGAGTGTTGTTCAATTCTCTTCTCTGGGCTGGGAAGCGTGGGAAGCAAAGGCTCTTGCATCCCGTTGGCTTGGCCACTGCTCAAATTCCAGAGAAGTTCAGCCTTTTGCGCTCAGGCTGGCCCTCACTGGACCGAATGTGGGACAAATGCACGTTTTCTACTTTCTGGCAGACTACTGCTACTCTTGTTATTTCATAAGCCTTTAATGAAGCTGACAATATCATCCACCCCCTTTTTCCCAGATGGGAAACCAAGCCAGCCGCTCTCAAAAAATTCTATAACCCCATGGAATCCGTTCGCCAGATGGCACCAGGTCACCGGGACCCGCTGGTCTTCCAGGCGCTTCTTGTAGAGCAGGCCGTCGTCTCTCAGGACATCGTATTCGCAGGTCAGAATGAAGGTCTCAGGAAGCAGCGAGAGGACGGCCTCTTCCGCCAGAAGCGGTGAGCATTCAGGCAAAGCCAAGCTCCCCAGGGCCTCGCAGACATCCTCTTTGAAAGAAAGCCAGGAGGTGGGCTTATAGCCCCTGGCTTTAAACTCCTCCTGGAGGTGGTTCACGCTCAGCCACTTCCTGTACTGCGCTCGTAGTTTCATCGGGACGTGTGACCCTTCCAAGATATCCCCCAGGCACGAAGCGTCTCCCGTCAAGCGCTGTAGCAGGTAAAAAGCAGCCCGTTCTCGGAACAGAAGTGGCACGGCCCGGTTCTGCTGGTAGGAAGGCAAGTTGAAGTCTACCGCTTGGAGAACGGGGCAGAGGAGGATCTGAGCGTGCACCTTGGCAGGGCCCGGTCTACTTGCTAAGATTTGACAGACCCCGGCAGCGAGATTCCCACCCGCCTCATTTCCAGCAAGGATGACCCGGCTGCTGTCCACCCCGTAGTCCTCCGCGACCTTCAGAAAGTGGGTGGAGGCAGCAAGGCAGTCGTCGAGCTGGGCGGGGTGTCTGTGCTCAGGAGCCAAGCGGTACCTGCAGGGAAGGAGGTCCACATAAACCGGAGGAAGACTTTGACCTGCTCCCTCAAGATGGAGAGGGAGGGAGGGAGAGAGAGAGGGAAGGGGGGGGAGATCTTTGTGGTTCAGTTTAGGGGCAGTTGCAAGGTCCCTGCAAGCATCCTTGGATGAGAAGATTGCGCTCAATTGAGAAGCAGAAACCCTGGGCAAAAAGAGAAGAAACCCCTGTTTGGCCCCCAGCCGAGAAGATCTCGCGCCGGGAAGGGCATCTATTCCAGAAGGACTGCCTGCATTAGGAATATTTGCCTGCCAGCTCAGCCCCTCTCGCTTTGGCTGGTCCCGCCAGGTTCAAGCCCCCGCCCCCCCAAGATGGTGATTGCTCCCCTTCTGTTTTGTCTGGGAAATTCAGGCAAGATTTCTGAGGGTGTGGTTGCGGTACCCTCGCCTCGCAAAGCTGGTGGCTCTTTCTCTTGGGCTACCGCCTTTCACTCCCAGGATCTGGGATAAGAGTGCAAAACCCACTTGGGATGACTTACGCCACAGACACAACCACCGAGTCGCTTTCTCTGGCCAAGTAGCAGCAGAGGTGCTCCTGGCTCCCTGAAAAAAAGATAATTTGCACGACTGACCGGAAAGGCACCACATGCCTACTACGCTCCTCGCGCGCCTCCCAAATGCTGCCATTGTAGAAACCGCCCAAAAATATTTCGTCAAGATCCTTTGAGAAACAAGTCCTGAATGGCAAATGGGCCATCAGTGCCTTGTCGGCATGAAGGCAGCAGAGCCTTTCCCTTGGATCCCTTCCCTGGAATCAACCCGGTGCTTCCAGATAGACCCAGCGCTTCAGTAGTCGTGTACAGAAAACCTTTTTTGCCACTGAATCTGACCCATTTTCTGATTTGGATCAGTTTAATTTGGCAATTCAGTTCCGAAATCCAAAATCACAGGAAGGATCCCAATGGCGCCTGAGTTAGATCAGCAAGAATTAAACATTCTCTCCCTCCCTCCCTGTGTGTGTGTGCGCGCGCGCGCGTGAGTTTCTCCGCGTGGACAGAAAAGTCCCACGCTCCTCTTTCTTTGGAGGAAGCTAAACTCCGGGGACGGGGCTCACCCAAGCTGCCGAAGAGCCAGCCCCCCGCGTGGAAGTACACGATGCCCTTCCTCGGGCCAGCGGCGGAGGGCGCTTTGGGCAGGTATAGCCGGACCGGGATGCCCTCGAAGGCGGCGTCCTGGATGCGGAGGGTGGGGTCTCTCCTCCTCGTCCAGGCGTTGCGCACCAACCGGACGAACTGGATTTGGCGGCAGAAGTGCAGGTTCTCCAAGATCCGTCCCTTTCAGGGGAGCAAAGCGGGTGCTTGAGCGCTTGGCCGCATGCAAAGGGCAGCCTGCTCCCGGTCGGGCTCGGAATGCGCTCGGAACTCCCTGGAGCAGGGAAGCGCCCAGTCACCCGCGGAAAGCCCAGCTTCGCCCCGTGGGAATCCCCCGGCCTCCCCTTCCCATCTTTCAGGGGTCTGGGCGGGGCCGCCTCGGCGTCCTCCCTCGGTGCCAGGCAGCGCAGGTCTTATTTAGCGAGGGGCTCTCCAGGCGCGCACCAGGCGCGGCTGTCCCGAGAGCGGCCGCTTGCTTTGGTGCGCCCGGGAGCTGCCGCAGAGGAAAGGCCCCACCGGCTTCATCAGGCGTGCAGGCGGGATCCCCTCGACGCCCCCTTCCCACCCTATCCCCGCATCAGTAGCGCCGCGGCTCTTCGGTGGAGCCTCCCCGGCCCAGAAGCCTTTCCTCCCGGGCGGGCCGGCGCCCGCCCGCCTGCCTCGGGGGCGCCCGCCCATTGCCGCCTGCTCACCAGGACCGCGGCCCCAATGCGGCAGGCATGAATAACGCGTAGCCTGGCCGGCTGCTCCAGCCCGGCCGGCAGCTCGGAGTTGGTGGCCTCGAAGTAGATGCTGCCCAGCACCAGCAGGATCAGGGCGGCGAGCCCCGCCGCGCCCAGCAGCGCCAGCAGCGCCTGCGTGAAGCCCATCGGGGCGCCGGTCTCTGAGGGAGGAAGAGCCGCCGCAGCGCTGGGCCTCGAGCTTTGCGGGCAGGGCGGAGCGCCCTCGGACCACACCTCCCATCTTGCTCGGCCCTTGCCGGATTCAGGCGGGGCTCGTTGCTCTTAGGGACGAGCAGCCGTTCCCACCTGGTAGGATTGTAGCGCTTCCGCTGTAGTCATTGGGGGAGGAGTGGGCCTCCATGAGCGGGGCAGCACCCCCAAGAATGGCTGCCGGCCATGGTGGGGGGGGCTCGTCAGACCTTCAGCTGTGCCCCAAAGGAGAACCCAGCCCAGACATGCCCACCCTTCTCTAGTTGGTGCTTGGCAGGAAAGGACCTCGGCCCAGACCACGGTTTGCTCAACCACTCGGCCCTGGTTGCTGCTCCTGTGCTTTGTGGTTCTGAACCAACATGGACCTCAGAACTGTGGGCTGGCCAGGCCTTGGGCAGGAGCAGGGCAGGGATGGTCTTACTGGGTGAAAGCTCCTGCCCTGGCATCTTCCTCCCCTGCGTGAAAATAAAGTGGAAGCAGGAAGGAATTTGCAGTAGTCAGTCCAGCCCTTCTGCCCAAGGTCTGTCCAGACTTACCAGAGGACAAGAGCCTCGACCTTCACAGTTTCATCACGAGGCCACTGGCGGTGAATCTGTCCGAAAACCGGAACAGACGTTTCTGCTCAGGTTCTGATAGGCACCTGGCAAATTACAGGGACGATGGTGCCAGGTGACGCTGTGCCAGGTGAGTCTCTCCCTTTTCTAGAAAGGTTTTCCTTAAGAAGGACGTGCTGAGCTCCTTCTGCAGGATCTCTGCAACGCAAAGAGGGAGGAGGCAGAGCTGCCAAAAGTCTTCCCATCCTTTTATCGGGGTCTTCCTATGGAAGTAAAGGGAGTGCTTTTAGCCAAGGTATCATTTTCCTTGGAGCCCTTGGGATTTAGAATGAAATACGCGGGCACGCCTTTGACATGAGGGAATGCCAGGAATATGAGCAGCTGGGCCCGCTCTGAATCCACCAGAGTCAGAAAGGTGGAAGAAAAACCCTCCTTGGAGTCTCCCAGAGCACTTTTGTCCTTTCAGGTCAAGTGAAGGTTCTCAGGTTCCCTGTTTTAGTTCCTTTGCAAGGGAACAAACGGAGCAGAAAAACACTGATAAAACACTGATAAAGCTTCTTGGTGTTTGCTCCGTCCGGTGGTTTTCCAGCCACCTTCAAGCGGAAGAACAAGAACAGAGCAGAATACGAATTCTCAATGCCAATACAAAAGAAGGCAAGACTTTTATTAAACCAGAGAAGGCTTTCCAGAAAGAGATTCCAAGAATTTGGGTCAGAACAAGCTTGCCCCAAGCTGCAGTTTCTTCTGGCGTCTCGGCTTCCATTCCCGCTAGAGGTACCTAGAGCAAGCACAGAAAGCAAAAGGCATCCAAACTGGCACTCATCGTTCTCACCGAGTACATATGCAGGTGCTAAAGGACGTCTTATCTCTTCTACTTTCAGAGCAAGTTTAGGCAAGTCCAAAGGATAATCTCCTCGAATAGAGGGATCTCTACCAAGAAAGTCCATGCAACTAGCACCGGCATAGACATGGGGGAAAGAGATATTTCCAACCCCTCCCAGAGAGGGAGGGGTCATTATCTTCCTTGAAGGAGGGAGATCTACACAGGCTGGTCGGTCCCCGGAGGAATCTCTATTTGGGGAAGGTCGTCATAAAGCAGAGCAGGAAGGTCTATAACAGCCTTGACTGCCCTGCTGGCATTGGGTCAGCCCTCAGACCTGAACACCCTCTGGGAGTCTGGAGGTCGAGGGAGGCTCTTTTCTTGATGTGGTTGCGGTCGGGTTCCCCGAGCCATACGGCCCTTCGATATAGCGTTGAATAGTTGAGCTGCTATTCCCGGTTGTGTAAACAACGCAGCGCGCCTCCATCCTTTCCTGAATTGGCCACGATGGCATTGTTGCTATCGACGTGCGGCACCTCAGATGCTGAGCCCCGACGTACGTTTTGGCGGGCAGGGGAGCAGAAGGAGGAGAGGGTGAGCATCCCTTTCCTTGTGAGCAGGGTGGACAGAGTACCTTCTCAGGGGAGGCCGGAGGATTCGTTTACGTCTGTGAGGTCTCAGAGAGGCCATCTCTTCCCCTGGCCTGCTCTCTCCCACCCGAGTCACCTCAGAGACAGACCACAAGCACCTGACACTGGCAGAGAAACAGAGGCCGTGCCCCGATCGGCATAATTACAAGGCTCCCGGGCTGAGAAGTCAGCCCGTGGCCTCTCCCATTTCTGCAGTTGCACAATGTGGCCTCCCGGAGCCCTGCCTCAGTCAGCCAGCGGGGTTCCCTTGCTCAGGACCCCTAGACACAACATAGGGTGGGGGGAGACCGGAAGCGAGAGGCAGATTCGCCCTGCGGGTCTCTTTAGAGGGGAGCTTCCCGCACATCCACCCACCCCCGGCCTCTTGAGGATGGAAATTTTCTGGGTGAATTGATGGGGTTTTGCTGTCGGGGGATCGGACATTGGGGTGCCACTGAAAGGGATGAATTCAGATATACACACACACACACCAAGAGGACTTTCTTCGGTTCTCATTCTGAAATTGCCCCTGGGAGTAGTGGGTCTTCCTGTACTGCTTTTGTTAGAGCGGCCCAGGTGTGAAGGTCCTCCTTTTCCAGGCTCAGTCCATCTGTGGCCCTCCTTGGCTGGCATACACACGCACACACGCACACACACACACACACACGCACACACACTTCAGGGCGGTGGGGATCATCGGCACAACTTCTGTCACTCTTGAGGCTATCTGTCTTGAGAAGCGGCTGTAGGGCCATCTTCTTCAAGAGCTCTTCTGAACCGGAGAGTCCCTTGGATCTTAAGAGCTGCCTTCTGGTGGGGAGGACCCCCGCCGGTCCAGGGTTGGTTGACCACCACTTAAGCAGTTTTTCCTAAGGGGAGCACAAGTCTCAGCCACCAAATTCTCTGTGTTTTAGGAATAAGATGAAAAAGCGATGTCCCTCTCTCGGTTTCATTTTGGCCTCACAAACGTCTGATAAAATCGGTAACATCATGGACAATCCTTTCTGCTGAAGGAAAGGACAGGATGCCATAGCCAAAAAAGACCATGATTGCATGCATGCCGTTCTCAACATGGCTCCAGGTTACCGGCACACCATTGTCCATCAGCCGCTTCATGTACAGCAGCCCGTCGTCTCGAAGGACATCATACTCGCAAGTCAAAAGGAAGGTCTGAGGGAGTTTGCAGACGACCGCATCTTCGGCTAGCAAAGGGGAAATGTTTTCCGAGAGCAACTCTTTCATTTCTTCATGTAGCTGAGGGTTAAAATTAGACAAAGAGTGGTCTTGTTCTGTGTAACCCCTGACTTTGAACCGTTCAGGGATGCTGTCGGCATTCACCCACTTCCGGTACTTCACTCGACTAGCCTTGGGGACATGGCTGCCCTTCAGAAGATCATTTGCAAAGGAAGTCGACTTGTTAAGGTAGCGGCAGCAAAAGTAGGTGACCAGTTTACTCCACAAGAAGGGACTTCTGCAGTTCTGCTGATAGGATGGCAAAGACAAGTTCAAGGCCTGCAGTCCAGGATAGATCAGTGCTTGAGCATGGACCTTGGGAAGGTCTCTGCGGTCCACCAGTAACTGGCAAATGCGTGTGGCAAAATTAGCCCCACAGCTGTCTCCGGAAATGATAATACGAGAACTGTCTACGCCATAATCTTCTCCATGTTTCATGAGGTAGACAGCAGCCTTCAGACATTCAATATACTGGTTTGGATAAGGATTCTCTGGCCCAAGTCCGTATCTAAAAGGATCAGAAAATGACTTATTATGGATTCTTGGCGCATTGGTGAATGTAACTGTTTTTGTAACTGTTTTTAAAATACGTAACACAGAACAACACTTTTGCAACCCTATGAGTTTTTATAAAAGCAATTCTTCAAGTACCAACTCTTGTTTTTAAGCAGCGGAATCTAAAAACTGTCCAAGTTCAAATATGAAAGTTAATCAGTAAACATCATAAGGACTACGTGAAATAATCCTGAGTGAAATCCAACAGAATTGTTCCAAGGATGTAGTAAACAAGACGTCTGAGAATCACACAGCTGGTATCCAAATGAAGTCAGAGTTGCCTACACAAACTTCTAGTTTTATATCCATGAATATTTTACATCTAAATTTAAAGAAAGCAAGGTAGCGAGGCCAACAGGAGCACCACGAGGGGAATCACAAGCACACAGAAGGAAAAGGCGGGGGGAAAGGAAACACCCCCGCTACGTCCACAGCAACCAATCCCAGCACAGATCGCCTCAGGAAGGAGCCGGCTTTCTCCAGCCAATCAACCACAGCGCAATCTTCTCTCTGCCCAACCCCTCACCACTCCAGCTGCCGAATTGAAATCTCACCACAAGAGGTGACATCGCCGAAGCCGAAATCGTTTCTGGCTGGCTCAGCGGCTTCTGTTTCAAGCTGGAGCAGAGCGGGTTTAAGAGCGTGTTAAATCTAGCCTTACGGGCAGAGTTATCCAGGTTAGTATCTGTAAGCCCTCTCGGGAAGGCCAGATCAAGAGGCAGACCCAGCTGGGCCGGGAGGTAGAGCGGTCAGAGTCCCGAAAGCCCGCTAGAGTTTTTCTCCACCCAAACTTATACCAAACAAGATCTGGGGTGGGGGTGGGGGTGTTTCCAGTTTGAGTTCCTCCATTCCACACTTGGGAAGTCCCCCCTCTTCTCCCCCCAAGCAGCCACTTCCTGGCTGTTCCCGAACCCCCCCCCCCCACTTTCCACGAAACCCCCCCCCCCCCCCGAGACCTCGGGAAGCAGCTGGACTAAGGGGTCCTTTCCAGCTGGGGAAAGGTTGGTCCCGTAAGCCGTGACCCGGTGCTGTGTGTTGCGGATAGTCAGGTGGTCCATTGCCTTTCCTTTGCCTTCCTACGCAAGGCTGTCAGCCCGGACCATAATATTAGACCTCTTCTCCCCCCCCCCCGCCCCCCCCCCCCCAAGTGCTGTAGATTAGAGAGGTGAAGAGGTGGTGACACTCACCCAACCGCCACCACCGTCGCATCCCCCTCTTTGGCCATGTGGCGCAGGATTCTTTCGTAGGCATCTAAAAAAAGAAGCGGAGAGTTGCGCTGGATGAAAACTCCCTCCCGCAAACCCCCTCCTTTCCCTGCCTGAAGCCTCCGAGGGAGGGTTGCCGAAGGGAAGCGGTCAGCCCCAGGGTGGCCACGGTCATTGCTCAGCTCTCCTGCTTTTGGGATACTTTCTCAGAGATCAGCTATGGGGGGATCCCCCCAGGTGCATTGGGGCGAAGGAGAGCGGAGAGCCAAGCAAACTGAGGTTTTCATATAGTCGGGCCTCTCGGCTTTCATCCTCAGAACAGCTCAGATATGCTCAGCAAACAGGGGATCCCATTTTTGGATGAGTTTGCTCTTTTCATCTGTTCGTTTAAGGCGGTTCGTTGACCCTTTGCCTAGAGAAGGCTCCCTTGGTTTCTCCTACGCTGGCGGAAGCCTCCAGGGCTACACAGGGCAAAGGAAGAGAGATGAATGCGACAGGAAGGGCTGGGTGGACGGCCAAAGCATCATCGATAGCCTTCGCGTTGCACTTAGGGAAGTAGGATCACTAGAGAGCTCTCGGTTTAGCGTGGATAGTTGTGTTCATTTATGCGTGTGTGTCAGAGAGAGAGAAAGAGGGCGAGAGGGAGGGAGAAACATTGGATGCCAAGTGACTTCACAAACATCGCCGTGGGGTGTTTTGGTACCCAACCGCCTTGAAAGGGTTTTGCAATTACGTGGGATGTTTTTAGGCTTCCAGCTATTACTGCCCTGAGATCGCCTAACCTTCTCGGTTTAGCTGTCCGAGCTTGGCTCGGAATAGTCCCCGTGGCCTTACCGATGCTTCCAAAAATGCCTGCTCCTCCATGGAAGTAAAGCACAGCTTTTCTTTTCATAGCTGGCACCGTTCTGGATGAGTAGATCCTCACCGGCACCCCATCAAATTTCTCATTCCGAATGACGAGGGACAGATCCCTACGTGGAGGTATTCCGTTAGTCCAAAGCCGTAAGAAATTGGGGAAGGTGCACAAACCCAGCTCCTCTAAAACAATTCCCTGTTGGCCAAAGCACAGACGAGGAGAATTTAATTTTGGGAGATCACCTTAATCTTTGGCGTCAGAGAGTTGGAATCCCTATACCCGCACGGTACCCGCAGCAGACAGAGAGTCCTTCAGAATGAAAGAACGGGCATCGTCGTGCGACCACCCAGGCTCAGTTCCTTTTGTACGCGGATGCGAGGCAGAGTCTGCATTTCAGGGTTGTGATGCGTTCCGTTGCTCTCCCTTCAACACATACACGAAGTGCCCAAATTACAGCAATTTAAGCTGCAGTAGGTCGCAGCTCTGGCAGAGAAGACGTAGCAGGGCATTAAACTTTGCAAAGAGGAGTACCTCCATAAGCCAGACGCGCCCTATCCTATTGACGGGAGTCAACTAGGAGCGATGGGACCCGACCTCTCGACCAGGCGGAGGAGTTCAGGTGCGGGAATGCCGCCTTTTACCGAGGGAAGCGCTCCTTCTTCGGGCCTCCAAATCTGGACAGACAGCTTCAAGAAACTTTCTGTTCCATTGCGGGGGAGCGCTCATGAATTCAGGCCAATTCTAATCTTTTTAGAAAAGGATAAATCAAGACAATTTTCCCGTCCCGGTCCAAGAAAAGCGAAAGAAACCTTACCAAAATTAACCCCGTGATGAACGTCGTCTGGCAGATGCGGGCCTTCAGGGGTTGATCGATCCCAGGAGGAAACACGGTTCCTTGGTACTGGATAAGGGCCGAGAGCAGGAAGGCGGCCGGGTACATGGCGCCGGCAACAAGAAGGCAGGCCAGGCGCTTCCCGTGGTATATCATCGCGCCTCACCTGGGGCAGGTTCTCCTCCTCCTCTGCCAAGCTGCCCGTGGAAGCTGTGGAGAGGCCAGCGGCTGATCCCCAGAAAAAATAGATGGTCCAGGTTTGATAAGGGCAGGCTGATCTCCTCTTCTCCCCGCCCATCATGTGCTTCACCTGCAGTAAGAACAAAGCAGAGAGGAAGGTGCGATGGGAGGCAGCACTGAGTCCACTCTTTGACAGGCCATCCGATTAGGAAAGGCAGTTGGCACCTGGGAAGATGGCCACCAGGAAGGAGGCAGTGGGTGGCCACCGACTGGGGAGCTAAACTTCCCCCCACGGGGAGGTACCACGTCCCGTGGAACAGGTGCATCCTTCCCTCACCAGGTTGGTCCGCGACGGGGGAGGATTTCAAGGATCTCCTGCACTGCAGAACCGAGCCTCTTAGACTCTGCCGAGCCTCTTCTCTCCCAGAGCCACAACAAGCAGGCCACCCGAACCAGCAGGCAGCTCCCGTGCCCGCCTCAGGCTTCTTAGCGGTCCATTCTGCAGAATCCCGGCTTCCTCCGGCAGCTTGCAATACTTCCTCTATCCATCAGAGGGGCCTCCTGTAGGGGATCGCCGGGGCCATTGGCTGCCTGCCTTTCGGGATAGATTTTCCCAGGCAGTTCGTAGGGACGGAGGAGCCCCGTCCCAGCACACAGACCTTCAAGGGAATGAACACCAGGAGGGGAGGGGAGAGAGGGGGCTGAGGGAAAAGTAACGCCTCCGCCTCCGTCGCTTTAATCTAAGAGATCTTAAATGAAGGTAAGAGGAAATGAGCCATTTTCTTCCCCGTCCTTCGTTCTCTTTCTCAGCACCATCCCGCGTGCCAGCCAGATCACGGAAGTCCTCAATACTTTGTCTCTTCAGCCACATCCGGACAGTCTTTTCCGTGTCTCGATCCAAGTCAAACGGAAGCCCTTCCGTCTTGGGAAGAAAAGGTGAAACTCACGTGCCGCCAGTCTGGACTACACGGCCGGTGGGGGCCAAGAGGGTGAAACGCAACTTGACAGTTGCCTCCAGGGAGGAAAGGCCGACACTCAAAATATTTCCTCCTTGTGCTTCTGGGCTTTGCCGAACGATAGTTTCAATCTTCGAAGGTTGCGGTCTACCGTGGGGTTTAAGGACATCTACGTGAATAACACCCACCGTCTCCCCAAAAACCGTACAGGCCGTGCTCAGTTAACCACACCCGTTCAGTAGCCCTTTGAGGTGATGACGGTGCCGAGCAGGTGGTACTTACGAACCGATCGCTGAGATTCTAGCTATCCCAGCAGCCCCCGGCCAGGTGCTCTAATCCGGGCACCGGATGGCAGGCTGGCATTTATATCTGTTGCCACGTTCCACCGCCGTGGGATCATTACTCGCAGGATTCCCTGCCAGCTGGCGATCTTGTATTTGTGAGGGAAGCGTGATGGTCATAAGCAAGAGTCGAATCAACGTTCGATCGACGGTTGTAAGTTGAGGACTACCGCATGCCTCTTCACGGTTTGAGCCGAACTGAGCAGCGTGAACTCGTATTCACCGCCCTGCTACGTTTCCCCAGTTCAGCGTAGGCACAGTCTTCCTCGTTGTTTATTCCTGCCCGAAAGATCAGGTGCCGAGCCGAAGCCTGCAGGATTCATATCCTGCCCTATTGTCTTCTCCACGCAATCACATTCTTAATCTCGGTAATGAAATATCTAAGCCTCCTTCAGAACGGGCTGACCTAATTTTGCCAGGGAGCGTAATCTGTTGAGCATGTCGGCTGCTCTGCCTACCTAGGACTCCTTTCCTCCTAGGTAAAAGGGCTTTCTGGGTAACGCATGGGAGGCGGGCCGGGCCAGATGCGAGTCCCCCCCCCCCCGCGGGGGAGATGTGCCGCAGGAGGGGCTGTGGGGAGATAGACCTTCATAGGCGTGCACACGGCAGCCATGGGGATCTTCAGGCTGGATGTCAAAAGTCCAGGGTGAGCAATCCAGATGACATGGTTTCATACTGTTAATCCCATCCTTATTGTCCGAGGCGTGATCAGTTTTGCAATTGGGTGTAGCTAGTGCCCTGTGGCACTGGCCTTGAGGCTGAGAAAGGGGTGGGGTGGAGGCGGGGTTCGGTCCACTAAACAGTTTCACAGAAGGTCTCCCGAGGAAGAGGAAAAGTCAGAAGAAAACGCAACCCACCCTGCCTTGATGGTGTCAGTTGTCCTAGAGGGGATCTTCGGCCGTCTTTCAAGATCCCGTACCCGTGTCCCAGGACCGCCGAGGACCCTTCCGGAAACTCCCGTTTCCTGCATCCTGATCTCGCTGACCTCGTGAGGTAGAAGCGTCCATTCTGGCAAAAACCTGGAATGATCACCGAGCGCCCTTTGGGAATCAAAGGGATGGTGTATTCGGCCCCTTTTTTATTGTTATTTCTGCCCGCCCGCCTCCCGCCTCTCTCAACCGACGGATTGTGAAATCCTCTGCAAGGCAGCCGATGGAGCCTGTTGCAGTTTTACTGCTTTCTTTTGCATCAGCTCGGATTACGCATTCATCCCTCAGGCAGGTTGTAAAAGGCGCATCGTAGCTGGCAGGAAAGGAAAGCGTCCGTGCGTGCCGATAACAAGATCGGATGGTCTCAGTTCGAATCCAGGGCAAACCATTCAACGTCACGGTAATGCAAGTCCGTGCCCCAAACCCCAAGGCTGAAGAGCGAACGGGAGGGGAGGGAGAGACGCCCTGCTCCTCATAGGGGATCGGAATGGATCAGGGAGTCAAAAGGCAACCGGAATAACAGACAAGTTTGATCTCGGAGCACAAAAGAAAGCAGGGCGAAGGCCAGCAGAGTTTTGTTAAGAGAGCACTCGGAGCAAATGCATTTTCCCAACGAAGAGTTCATCTGCCTGGTGGATCTCTAGATTAAAGATCACCTCAGCCCACCTGGGCGGATCCGGCCCTCCCTCGAACAGTTTCGTGCCTGGGCACAGCCTGTTGGGCAAACAGAGGTCATCCATTTGATTAACCCAGATTTTGGGGCGTGAGCTGAGGCGAGCGAAGGCAGGTATCAGGCCTTCTCAAGGGAAGGGTAGGCGCTTGTTTCCCTGCCGCAGGTCCGTGACCCCCAAAAGACGTTGGAAAATTTTCCTATATTGTAAATACGCCGGCGGTCCAACACGGGAAGATTTACGCACATCGTTAAAATAAATTTATTTAGCGCCTCGATTTATTTTACTTTATTCGTTGCGTTCATCAGCCTGCAGGACAGAAAATTGAGAGTCAGGCCCAAAGGCGACACGGTGAAATCCAGAGGAGTCCAATTCCGGAGCGGATTACCCCAAGGGACAGGGTCTCGCAAGGCACAGCCGCAACCTTCTAACCTCACAGACCGACTCTGGGAGATTCTAGGGTGGGGCTCCCCCAAACCCCTCTTCCCCCCTCCACCAGCCCCATCAGAGTGCACACACTCAGGAATAACGAATAATTTTATTTACCCAGGTCAAAATGGATTTCTGCCAAAGAGACAAATTAGAGACAATACAAGAGTAATTCCGGACCCTTTGGAATATTACGAGGCGCATCCTGAAAAACAAACGGCTTTGATATTCTTAGACACCCAAAAGGCATTTGACAACGTGAACCGGAGATTTACGTTACTCTTATCGGAACAGATCGGAACTAGAAGATTTATCCAAGCAATAGAAGCTATTTACCACGAGCAAACAGCAAAGGTAACGATTGAGGGAGAATTTACCGATTCTATTTACATAAGAAAAGGCACAAGACAAGGACGTCCCCTTTCTCCTTCGCTATTCGTATTGACTCTGGAAGCGTCGCGTAGAAATATTAGAGAAGACAAAAGAATAAAAGGAACGAAAATGAAAAAGGAAGAATTTAAATCGCAAGCCTTCGCGGACGACTTAGCCTTTATTTTGGAAGACCCTTTAGAAACAGCTCCAAAGGTATCGGAAAAGATAGAGGCATACGGCGCGGCCGGTCTGAAAATAAATAAAGATAAAACAAAGGTTTTGACAAAAAATACGTTACTAAGACAAAGAGAAGAACCGGCAGACCTACTGAAAATTCAAGTCACGAACAAGGTCAAGTATCTGGGGATATATTTGACAACAAGATGTAGTACATTAAAAGAGAGTAATTCTACTAAATTTAAACAACAGATAGCCTTAGATTTGAAGAAATGGGAAAATTTACAACTGTCATTCATAGGGAGGATCTCAACAATCAAGATGAATATTTTACCGAGAGTCTTATTTCTGTTTCAAACAATACCGATTAGGCTCGGAAAAGACTATTTCGAGGACTTAAATAAAATTGCGTCGAAGTATATACGGCAAGGTAAGAAAGCGAGGATAAAGCTAAAGCTTTTGCAGGATGCTAGAACTACAGGAGGTTTCGGCCCGCCTAATCGGGAGCTGTACTACCAAGTTGCAAATTTGACGTGGGCTAAGGAATGGATAACATTAAGAAAGACTAGATTGTCGACGCTAGAAGGTCACGATTTGCTGTTGGGTGGCACGCTTTTTTATGGTATAAGGGAACCAAAACACAGGGTTACTTTCGAAGACATCATACACGGGAGTCTTTGAGGTTAAACTGGGAGAAAATAAAAAAACGTTATCTGAAAATTCCAGTTTGGTTATCGACGATAGAAGCTTTTTCTTATCCTATAATTTATAAAAAGGAACAAACAGTTAGATACGTGGAATTATTAGATGAAAAGGTTGAACTTAAATCGATACAAAATCTAGAGGAACAAGGTATAAAGATGAATCGGTTTTCATACGCGCAAATACACTCAAGGTACGATGAAGATTCCAAAAAAGGGATTTTACGATAAACAGACCGATTTAGATAAGATCTCGACAGGTACCGATGAAAAGGCGATTAAAAAACTATACGGTTATTTATTGGGAATTAAGCTAGAGGAAGAACAAGATAAAGAAACTACGATCGCTTGGGGGAGGAATTTTGGATACGGGATCGATTTAGAGAAACGTCAGAAACCA